AAAAAATGATTCTCTACTGCTCGCGTGTAGGAAACCCGGTATGCCTCGAGGGTATTTTTGTCCTCTTTTGTCCAAAAGTCCACGTGTCGCCTAGTGAATATTTTTGGCTCCACAAATACAGTTTGATAAAGAAACCATAAACCTCAATCTAACGATCATATGATTTTATATTTAGGTAATTTTTAGTAGACATGATCATTAAAGGAAGATTTAAAAAATAGACAATTCGAATTGTTGAAATACACTACAAAATAGCTCCACAAAACCTTTTTAAAAAGAGAGTTTTAACGAAAAGCCCACGGTACTGTTCACTTTAACGAAAAACCACATTTTTACACTAAAAAGTCAAACCTGGTACTATTCACTTTACCCTTTATTTTGTCCTTATCATTAAAACTCAAAGTTTTCAAGCCATTTTCATTAGTTTTCCTTTTTAAAAATTTATGTGAAAATAGTGTTACAAATGTGTCCTCATATATATATAAAATAATCTGTATGTAAACGAAACAATATCTTGACATAGTTCGTACATATTACGTGTCAATATCATGGTGTTTGTCTTGTTTTAACATATAAGATATCCTCTTCGGATCTCTTCCACTAAAATCACCGGATCAATTGATCCGGCCTTTGAAATTTGATTCAATCATTCAACGACTAAAAACATATGTTCTCTTTAAAAATTATAATAAATTTAATCGTTTGATCAAATTTCAAAAACTCGAATCACTTGATCCGGTGACCTTAGTGGAAGAAATTCAGAAAAGATCTCTTCCCGATTATAATATCCTAATCCAATAACATTGATTGCCTTGTTAGCTTTGAATTCACATTGACATAAAAATAGATACATTGTTTGTCCCTTTGCCAAAGGTTTGGTGAGTGGAATTTTAAACATTTTTACGGAGAATTGAACACCCTATTAACTTTTTAATCTGTTTTTTATTATCAATTTTTTTAATCTGTTGAGTTATGCAAAGATTTGAGATATCATGCTATTCGTGAACTGCATAAGAAGTCTGGCTTTCCTAAGCATCGATGTGCTATTTGTAATTATTGTCAACCTCCAGGGCTTAACTACGAACACATTTTTAACTATCCAGGACAAAGCGGAGTTAGTGGGCACTCGCATGTCTCCCTCATTTGGACCCGGTCTTATTATTATCAGGGCTGCTTAAGGATGAGTATGAGATTTTAGTTTTTACTCACAAAATTTCATGTCTGTATTTACAAAACTTTATGTTTATAGGCGGAATCGTTCATATAATTAATTGCTTTATAAAATCTTTACAAAAAATAAATTAAAATTAAAGTCATCAAGTCAATCAATTGTAGCAGATAATTCGTATTGCATTTACCATTCGTTTTATCTATTATTTATACAGTTCGATGACTAAACAATTTTAGTTTAATTGATTTTGGCAAACAAGATCTTTGTAGAGTATGATTAAAAAAAATCCATAATTCAAAAAAGAAAAATTTTGAGTACGAATTTCTAATCGTGTTTTGAATAGTCAAGTATCATTTTATTATCTCTACTAATTAATAAAATATTCATTATCAACCAAAATCATATGAAATTACCAGTTTAACCCTCTAATTAAAACATAATATGAATAAGAAATATGGGGCAGAAATGTAATATTACACAACCAAATTTTGTTTTTTTTTTAAAACCTCACCTACATGTAATCTTAACATATATATAATTAAAAATAAAAAAATAAAAAAACTTCCCACTCCCCCATTCTTTATCACTCTCTTCCTCTCTCCTTCTACTTCAAAAACAAAAATAAAAAATTTTCTCACACATTTAACGATAAGAACAAAATAAAGGGTAAAATGAATAGTACCATGTTTGATTTTTTAATGTAAAAATATAATTTTTCGTTAAAATAAATAGTACCGCGAACTTTTCGTTAAAACTCTTTTATTATTATCCTGTCTTTCTGGTCGACATTCAAGACACTAGTCCAGGCTTGCATGCGCACCACGTGTCGCACAATGTATACAGCAACGTGGCGATTTTAGCTCACTGTGGAAGTGTAGTTTAATCGTATCACGCGTGACATGTTCAAATTTGTGTGGTGGAGAATGGAACACTAAAGGCGATTGGGTCATGGTGTGCGTTGGAGTGTCAACGAAAATATGAGATGGCACCTTGCGCATTCGCTGACGCAGTGGCTTCTCTTTGGATGGCAAATTGAAGGGGAAAGCGAAAGAAAAATATGGTTAGAATTTTCATGTGATGTAGTCATCACACACTTCACATGGATAGTGGATTTCTGACCCTGTTTGGATTGTATTAAATTTGTTTTATAAATAGTGGCTTGTCCTGGTATAATTATATTTAATATTTGTTGAGCTACTTTTGTTAATTGTTTGGGTGTGTGAAGTATTCTTATTATATTAAATGTTCGTTTCGAGGTGTTTTTAAAAAAATTAAAAGTATTTTCAAAGAAATTTTTTTGAGTAAATACTAAAAGAGTTTTTAAAAATTCATTTACCTTTTTACTAAGAATGAATTCCAAAATATTTTCACCAAAAACATTATCAATCAATTTGAAACATTTTCAAGCGAGTCATTTAAATAATTTATGTTAATGTTTTCTTTTTTTATCTATTATATATTTTTGTATACACTTTGAAGAACAAGGCACATGATGTTCCACATAAACTAGCTACATATTTCTTGCTTATTAGTGAAATTTACGGCTCTGTTGAATTTTTAATTGTTTTAACAAACAATATTATTTATACTAAAGAAGATAGGATGGACTAAGTCTCACAAATAAAAATGAATATTACTAGACCGTAGTACTAAGTAGGAGATCCCAATAACCTTAATCGCGATATTGGTGGTTCGATTCTCATACCAGAATCAAATGCAACTTGGACCATCAACAAAAAACTTACACATGGGAAACATCCCATCAGCTCGAAACTACCCAGAGTGTAGTATTCTTTTGGCAGAGAATATTTTGAGTATGCTAAAGAGAATACCTCGAAGATTTGGAATCTTATAAGAATTTTGCAACTTGGTAGACTTGGCCATCATGAATTTTGCAACACAGAAAGGTCTTTTCAACTAAAACACAAACTCAATCGCTCTACAGAAAACATTGCTCTACGCGAAACCTTCTCACATCCCTGAGGAAAATACTAACTATTGTAACCCTCTCGTCAACACACCTGCAGTTGGATTAACAACAATGAGTTGGCAACTGGTGACATGTTCAACTTTGACCAACACTGATGGAGCCGTAGAATCTGTCGATTGAAAAGTACTTTTAGTTTGGATTAACATCACTACTTCAAACTTGATTGGTTACCTATCCAAGTCTTAGCCAACGAGGAAATTTTTATTCTTTTGTCGTACGAGGTGCTTTGATTCTTTTGCCGAATGAGGCCACCTCATTAGCTTCCATCAAAGTGAGTGGTTCTATGATCAGTAACTCCCATGTGTACTTCAGAGATCGGCATTCAGACGACCGAACAACATTTACCATCAAGAAACTTATTTCCCTTGAGTATCTTTGTCCCTACAATCTGATTCCGATTCGTTGAACCTATATTTTCACAAATAGAGTTGAGGCTACCGAACCTATTGCAAAATATCTTGAACTCAATGGTGAATTGAATAACCTTGTCTTCAAGTTCTAGAACCTTAGGGCGAGAGCGTTTTTATTCCTCTGCCGTATCGCTCAATGCATAAGTTAGCAACGCATTCGACATCATACCATCACATATATTTTACTTTCCCAACCAAGCTCGGTTGCGAGTTGGCACGCCCGCATCCACAAGAATGATGTAATTAGCTCAATAATTGCTCGGCATGCACGCCATGTAGGCGTTGTAATTCCTAAAGTCAACATTATGTGTGTCCTAATTTAGAAAATGTGCCACCTTTCTTCATATGAAATGAAACTTTTATTGATAACAGTTCAAGATTGTTTCTGTACATTGAGCATAAGAAAAATAAAATCCAGCTCATCAATAAACTAAATTCTAAATACTATCTTTAGCTATAAGCTGAAATTAATCAGCTACATAGAACTTGGCCAACTAGTATTTCGTGGAGCGTTTGACTTTGAGAATATCTGTCCTTCGTATACATATATAGTCGCTTCCTCATCATCTTGCACCGATTAAAGGACAATTCTACACTTTACGATGACTCTTTCAGCATAAGAGGACATAACACAAGGATCACTAAATTACCTGTTCTTGCCTTCTTCTGTAAACAACTCATCTTTGCTAAATTCCAATTTATAATACATATCGAGCTTCTCAACCCCGTTTCACATATCCAACCGCCGGGGACGGCGGTTATCTTACTAAGTCACTTCGTTCTTCTCGGAAAATTTATTAGGGTTTGAACTTCAGATTACGACCGAAACCGTGGACAAGATCAAGTTGATAGATACAGGAATGATAACCTCAAAAAATAACTCTCAATACAACGAAATGGGATCAAAAGCTCATTGTCTACCATTTGAACAGAATGCCTCCAAAGGCATTTGGGCAGGAGATAATCCTTTAGATTATCCGTATCCTCTAAGTCTGGCGCAAATCATCCTCGTCGTTCTCACCTCTACACTGCTTTATTGTTTTCTAAGACCCTTGGGACAAACCAGATATGTCTGCAATCTCCTGGTATGTTTTTGTTTTAGTCCTACTTATCGTTTTTGCTAATTTACTCTTCTATGCGGGTGTTGGCCTAGTCCCCGCTTATATCTTTTCTTTTTTTCTATTTGTTCTTGTTATTAATAAGTCTTGTCAAAGAGGGGACCAGTGGGAGTTTATTTGGGTGCAGTGGTATTTTTTTTCTTTTGGGAATGGTTAGTGCCTTGCAGAGTTACAATCGACAATTGACGAAGAGCTAATCTCAGCTAATTAATTCTTCTTTGCTTTCACTATTTTTTTCTTAAGTTTCTTTGGTCACGTGACAAATTAACTGGAACCCTTCTTTCTTTTGATTGCTTTCATTGTTTCAGGCTGGCATTATCTTGGGGCCTTCCCTGTTAGGGTACAACAAGGCATTCAAGGACAAAATACTTTTCGGAGTAAAAGAGGTTCCATTGTTTGAAACAATTGCTCATCTCGGCGTAATATACTCCTTATTCCTAGCCACGGTAAAATTTGATGTAAACATGGTCAAAAGGATGGCGAAGAAGGCCTGGAAGATTGGTCTAGTGACATTTCTCTTTCCATCAGCAATCACCTCAAGCACTGTTTTCACGATAGGCCGAACCATTCCTGGAATCAAAGGAGGAAAGTTTTTCCTTTTCTTCGTTTCCATTTCTTTGTCATTCACTTATTTTCCAGTCGTACTTGAGGCCTTGGATGAACTCAACCTTATGACTTCGGAGTTGGGACAACTTACTATGTCCTCCGCGGCCATGAATGAAATAGTCCAGTGGACCTTCGCAGCAGCGCATCTTATACACGCTCAGAAAACTATAAACAATGGATTTAAGACTTGTGCTTGCTTACTGGGGATGATATTCTTCACTATTTTCGTCATACGGCCAGTTATAAAATTGATCATCAAAGTTACACCACAAGGAAAAGAAGTCAAGGAAAGTTATGTCATTGCACTACAGCTTGGGGTTCTAGTTATGTCATTCATATCTGATACCATAGGCATGAGGTCTACCTATGGTCCCATACTACTGGGATTAGTCATTCCAAATGGACCGCCTCTTGGTTCAGCAATCGTACACAAGACTGAATACGTGGTCTCCGAATTTCTTCTTCCATTGTTCTTTTTCCGCATTGGCTTTGACATTAATGTCTACTCCGTTGAAGATTGGACGAGTTTTACCAAACTTCAGCTTCTGATTGTTGTGTCATACGTTGCAAAGATCGTGGGAGGTACAGTGATTGCATGGTGCTGCAAAATCAGATTCAAGAATAGTATCTTGCTGAGCTTAATGATGAGTACAAAGGGTATAATCGAGCTTATCGTTTATACTCATTGGCGGGAATTAAAGGTAATTAATAATGATTGTTACCATTTATACCTCATTTAACGACATATAATACTTGCATTCACTCCACATATTCACCCCTTGCGAATAATATATCTTTATCGTCCAAACTTTCTAACGAGAATTGTTCAATTTCTTAATATGTTTTTGGAGATCATCCTTACAAAAAATTATTTGAATCTGAGATCGTTAGGGGTTGTAGTTAGCGAGACTCGAATCTAGGCCTTTGCCTAGCAAAGAGAACGATCCTTGCCAACTCAACCAATTAGTTGGCATATTGGTGATATTATTGTTTATAATAGTCCTCTTTAACCTTTCATTAAACGATTAATTCAGGTCCCAAATTTTTATTAATTGCAGGCCATAGATGACCAATGTTTTACCCAACTGGTGTTGTCTTCTCTTGGGATTACCATGATTGTAACACCATTGGTACGATACTTATACAAACCTTTCGGAGCATCCAAATCCATACTTCCCCGATTCAGAAACATCCAGTCAATGCCAAGCAACAAGTCTGAAATGTTTCGCCTTCTATGTTGCGTCCACAATGAAGAAAGTGTCCCCAATATCATAACCCTCCTCGAAGCCTCAAACCCGACAGAATCAAGCCCCATTTGCGCCTACATTGTTCACGCAGTCGAGCTCATTGGTTGTGCTGCACCACTATTACTCCCTTGCCATAGTAATGACAAGAGGAACAAATTGTGCTCCAAAAACACAACCACTCATCAAATAATAAGAGCCTTCGACAAGTACTCAAAAACTGCGGGTGGACCAGTCATAAGCCAACCTTACACTATGATCTCGCCATATAAAAGCATGCATGAGACCCTTTTCCGTCTAGCTGATGACAAGTTTGTGCCGTTGATCATCATAACGTTTCATGAAAACTACCAGGGTATTGTTGGTCCAAGTATGACCGCTGGCATACGCCAATTCAACGCCAATGTGCAATCATACTCACCGTGTACGGTGGGGATCCTAGTCGACAAAGGCTTGTCCTGTCGGATGAGCTTGCCCCACTTCTCTTTCAACGTGGCTGTGTTTTTCGTTGGGGGGGCAGACGACCGCGAGGTCTTAGCCTACGCGGAACGCATGTCTTGCAACCCCAATGTTGGCATCACGGTGTTCAGGATAACACTTCAGAGTACATCAAAAGAAGGGAAAGAAGCCGAGCTGCAGGAGGCAAAGCTGGATGAGGCGTTGGTGAACGATTTTAGGCTCAAAAACATGGGGAATCATATGTTGTTATGGCGGGAAATTGAAGTGCATGACGGAGTACAACTTATGGATGCGGTTATGAACTCGCAGGGGGAATATGACCTTGTCATGGTGGGGAGACGGCATTCAGATATGACATTGAGGGACGAAGAAATGGCAGCGTTTGTGGAGAATGCAGAATTGGGAGTGATCGGCGACATTGTTGCTTCCTCGGATTTTTGTGGTGGGACGGTAAATGTGTTGGTGATACAAGAAAGCATAGAATTAGGGTTTGGAGCATTTCGAAGTGTGTCCAGAAAAGAGTCGGAAAGTGGACTAAGTTCGACGGGCACTAAACCTAAGTTCGACGGGCACTAAACCTTTGTTAACCTAATATAGAGGAAGTTGTTTTTTCTGGAATTGTATGCTGCAATTTCGCCAATATATGGTTGAAGATATTGCTGGTACAAGTCATGTTAATTGATGGAGGCAGTGAAATTGCTTTCAGTAATTTTTTTTTCTAGTTAGAAGGTGCAACTTTGGAGATTAGAAATTGTTGCTACTAGCTAGCTTCTTTTTGTATAGGATGATGACTCGGTTTTAATTGTAGCTTGTTTTCTGTTTTCCCATTATTCCTTTTTCTTTCTCCATTATTTTGTAATTAAAATTTTCAGATTTATGGCCTTTCTTGTGGCAGGGAACTATATAGTGGCGCAGGACATGTTCTTATAATTTTAACCAAATCCCTAGTCTGGTAAATCTACAGGGGGAACGTTTTTGGAAAAGTTAGAAGTCAATCAAATTTTCAGTCAATCTTTGACTTTTCAAAGACTTTATATTGGACTATAGCGTGGCAAAAAATAAACTTAATTTACATTTTATAGTTTTAAAGAATAAAAAAATGATTAGTAACTACCGATGTGAGTTTGTTTTGTTTTAATTATTTTACTATTAACACTCAAAATTTATAGGTCAAACTCAGGTGCGGGTGGATTGAAACTCACTAATCTCAAAGTTAATTTAAAAGATATTATAAAAAATAATAGTAAGATGAACACAAAGATACATAGTGGTTCACCATAAACGGGTTACGTCCATTGTAAATTGTATATATATTTGCTTGAGATTACAAAATACTATTTGAGCATGGCTAAAAAATAGCTCATGGAGAAGACCAAGACATGTAGGTCTCCACCCAGTTAGCATCTCTCTTTTCTCTGCTCTCTCTTAGGCAAAAGGCCCACCTTCCTAAGAAAGGTCAAATGAGTGATCTGAGATAAAAGGAATATCTAGTCTTGATCAACGTGAATTCATGTAGTAGGTCCGTAGAGCATTCAGGGAGGTGACCGACTGTGTAGCACTCTACCTAGCATTGCATTCCTAGCACTGTACGTGGAGTGCTAAGCCTAACATTGCTCTGGTGGCCTTGATAAAGCATCCTGGTATGGTGGTCTTATTACACCATTTTGGTTTGGTGGAACATCCTGGTCTAGTGGTCTAATTAGAGCATCCCTTTGGTGGTCTCGGTAAAGAAGTGGCCTCGGTAGAACATCCTGGTCCACCTAACACTTCACCCAGCACTTCACCCAGCACTGCATGCCCAACACTTTACCTAGCACTTCATAGATAGTCTATCATGTGTCAATCAGTTGTCTTCTCTTAACTCCTGAGGTCTTGTGTCACATCTCAGTCTCGGCTCCGTCGTAGCAAGATATTGTCCGCTTTAGGCCTCGACCACGCCCTCACGGTTTTGTTTTCGGGAACTCACACAAGAACTTCCCAGGTCACCCATCCTAGGAATGCTCTCGCCCGAACTCACTTAACTTCGGAGTTTCGATGGAACTCGAAGCCAGTGAGTTCCCAAAAAGCCTCGTGCGATATGGAAGTGGGCATGTACATATAAGGCACATCACCCTCTCTCTGTTGGTCGATGTGAGATGTTACAATCCACCCCTTTAGGGGCTCGACGTCCTCGTCAGCACACTCGCACCGAACGGCAGAGTGGCTATGATACCATTCTGTCACATCCCAAGCTCAACTCCGCCATAGCATGATATTGTCCGTTTTGGGCCCGGCCATGCCTTCACAGTTTTGTTTCTGGGAACTCACACGAGAACTTTCCAGTGGGTTACCCATCCTTGGAATGCTCTCGCCCGAACTCGCTTAACTTCGAAGTTCCAATGGAACCCGAAACCAGTGAGTTCCCAAAATGCCTCGTGCTATATGGAGATGGACATGTACATATAAGGCACATCACCCCCTCTTTGTTGGTCGATGTGGGATGTTACATCTTGGTCATCCTTTATTCCTATGGGCCTTGATATTTTCTTCTTTCTATAGGCCTTGGTCTGGCATTTACTTAGGCCTGCATCGTTTTGAGGGGCTGGAAATAACCTTGTGTGACACGCCCCGATCTCGATGTCTGAAGCACATCGTGATTGCCATGTGATGGCCGACACCCAAGGGTGACGCAAGCCATTTGATGAATGCGTATGCTCTGAACATGTCATGCATTATCACTATTATTTTGTTGACAGTTGAACTTATTATAATATTTTGTTAAGGTTGTATTTGAATATTATATTGCGTAGTTATGCGTGAAATTTATATGCATGTTTTCACATGTTCTTGACATATGCATTCATCAAATGGCTTGCGTCACCCTTGGGTGTCGGCCAACAAGTGGCCATCTCGATGTCCGAATAGTAAAATTATGCAATTTGGTCCACTCACCGATACTCTGTCTCCGAAGAGCCGTTCGAACTAGGTAGGATGGAAACGCCACTAACAAACGCACCTAAGCACATAAAGTGACCGATTAATAAAACTATACTAAAACAATTGAATTTCAGGAAACGAATGTCATAAACGGATTCAGGACATCGAAAAACATGATTTTATGGATACGTTTTATGAAACGTTTATGAGAAGATTGGATTCATGCTTTATGAAATGTCATGCTTCACTGGATTTATGCTTATTGAGATATTCATGAATATGATTTAAGATATGATGTTTGAGCTATTGAGCTCCGTTGAGATATATACATATATTTTGGAAATATTATGTTCATGTTTTTATGTGCTTATTTAGTGGTTGCTCATACGATCTGCCTACGGGCGAATGATACTGCCTTCGGGCAAATGAAGATTTAGTCTTGCCTACTGGGGAATGATATCATTATATGGCTTCGATCGGGTGATGTAGGGCTACGGGTGAATGATACTGCCTTCGGGCGATTTTGATACCACTACTAAGCACATTATATATAATATATGTTTTATGAAGTTTTATGGCATGCTAGGGTTTTCGGAAAACCTATTACTTATTATGCTATATGAGTTTTCTAAACTGGGGGTTAGTACGTTGATGTATAATTGTTTTAGTATTAATATATATATATATATATATATATATATAAACTTGGTCCACTCATGTTTTATTTTGTGCCCCCTCAGGATTTATAATCGAGGCATACAATCTTGGCATCAAGGCACTCCCATACTGGTATCTTTGAGCCCTCTCAGTATAGGACCCATTCCTCTTGTAATCACACTTTCTAATATTCCTTCCACTTGTATTTCGAATTAGTAGTATGCTCTGAATATGTCATACATTATCACTTTTAAATGTTTGGCAATTGAACATTATATTTTATTAAGGTTTGTACTTGATTACTACTTTGCGTTGTTATGCGCGAAATTTATATGCATGTTTTACATGTTTTCGGCATATGCATTCATTAAATGGCTTGCGTCACCCTCGAGTGTCGGCCAACACATGACCATCTTGTTATCCTTCAGACACCAGGATTGGAACGTGTCACTGCGTTAACATATACAAAGGGAAGGCCAAAAAAGTGAAACTTTCATAATACCCAAATTACCTTTATCTTATTAGGATTTGAAAAAAATAAAGACACTAAAACACCCCCCCCCAAAAAAAAACGTAGTGGGACTGCGAGTGGTTAGATTGATTTTTTTTCAAAATAATATTTTAAGAAAAATAATCATATCTAAATATGTAAAAAAAAAATTAAAACAATAAAAATATGCCAATTGCCACATGAATAGACGTGTGGTAAGATACTAGTATATATGTAGGCAAGGATAACTGTTACATCCCTTCTCAAAGTTTATTGTATTTTACTACCCCACACAATTAAGTTTCGAAATTGCCCTGATAGGCCTAGTGCCAATTAATCTGAAAATGCGACTTGATTTAGTAAAAGAATGAAACATGTAGTAAAAAAAAACACTAAACTTAATGGTGTGAAGAATGCGACTTCACTCACTACTTGGTACTTACACATGTCTAACTTCACTCACCACTTAAGTTTAATATTTATAAACAAACAAAAATGGGCAACTAACTAGCAACTATGCCACCAACACCGGTCACCGTCCACCAACAACCACGCCGCGACCAAAACGACCACTTCTGCCGATGCCAAATGGAAGCTCTCTCGTGCTGTCACCCACGGAATCACGAATTAGTTGTAACATCAGATTTATATTATTGAGATCGATTTTGATGTGATTTCCATTTGGGTCGTTGAATTATGGGTATCGACCCGTGTCAAACTGAATGTCAAGCAATGGGGCTACGAACAGAACAATGGCATTTGTGAAGAGGCCGAAGTATTGTTTCGTCAGGGCATTAAATAAATGGACCTAAGATGGAGGAAAAGCCCTAAAACGCCCTAAAACATTCTCATTGCTGTAGAAGTTGTGGGTTTGAATTCCTACATGGTTTAGTCAAAAGTTAAGACGTAAGGATGGTGGTGTTGTCAAATTTGTTATTGTTGGATGACATGATTTTCAACTTGTATAGCATGGTTTTCAACATGTTTTAAATTGCCTTGTGGACTTATGCACGTAAAAGGCTTAAACAAACTAAACATAAGCAAATTACAGATCATGCACATTCATGAGCTTAAACAAACTCCAACATGCATGGATGTTAACTTTCTTAATACAAATAAAAAATAGAAAGCTGTTCCGATAACGTAATTAACCAACTCTCTTAATTTAGTTGCATCTCGTCACCTTGTACCAAGAGATTGAAAACTATTATACCCTCTATAACGATTAACGACTTTCTTACAGCAGAAGGGCGCGCCATATAACCGCCAAAAACTACCAAATCACGTTTCGTACGTTGCCCTACTATCTCTTACTTCAATGCCTCATGCCAAAAACCACTAAACGGTAATTGAGACACAACTGCCAATTATTCCAATACTGCATGAGATTTCTCAACTTGAATTCTACCGGCTGCGGGGGCTCGTTCGAGTCTTCTTAACGCCTGCGTTTCACTGACAACCACCCTTTCCGATGATTTCCGTGAATATTACTGAGATGGCGGCATGGGATCGATAGTTGTTGCATCTGTGATCCATTGGGGAGGTACAAAATAGACAAAATGAACAATGTCACACAAACAATTGGACTATTGCCAGATGAATATTGTATACCATATCAGCCCGTTGACAACAAAGGCATTTGGTTTGGATATAATCCCTTAGGCGATCCATTCGCTCTAACCTTAGCCATAATCATCAAAGTTGTTCTTATTTCTCGATTTCTCTATTATTTTCTCAAGCCATTGGGACAAACCAAATTTTTCTGCATTCTCCTGGTACGTTTTCCGAGTTGTTGTTCATGAGATTTGAACCTTGTATGGTCATGGTCTCACACACACACACACACACACATTGTTTCTAATAAAGTTTGCTTGTTTTTCTAGAGTGGTATTATCTTGGGGTCCTCCCTTTTTGGGGGCAAAAGGCCACTCGAGGACAAACTGTTCGCAGCCAAAGTGAACCCACTTTTTGACACAATGGCTATGCTCGCCGCTATATACTCCATATTTATAGTCACATTGAAATATGACTTATCCCTCATCAGAAGGACGGCACAAGACTCTATTAAAGTAGGTCTTGTTGCGTCCTTTTTACCTTCTGTGGTCACCTTAAGCCTCCTCTACCTGCTAGGCAGCGCCATTCATGGATTCCCTAACAGTCCCAAGGGAAAATACTTCAAGTACTTTATGACTGTTTTTATATCTTTCTCCTTTTTTCCGGTCATAGCTCAGGCCCTGGATGATCTCAGCCTTATGACTTCTGAGTTGGGCCAATTCGCCATGTCCACCGCCATTGTCAACGATGTGATCCAATGGACCTTAACAACATTTTATCTCATAATGATGCAACAAAATATATCAAGCCATGGAGTTCAGGGTTTTCTTACCTTCTTGGCATTGATAATCTTTGCTGTCTATATCATACGCCCCATTATCCTGTGGATTATCAGCAATACCCCAGACGGAGAGGAAGTAAAGGAAGTTTACGTAGTTGCGATACAACTTGGGGTTTTAGTCATGGCATTTATCTGTGACTCCTTAGGCGCAACGGCTACTATGGGTGCTGTAATTCTAGGGTTAGTCATACCAGAAGGACCGCCTCTTGGAACAACATTAGTCCACAAGACTGAAACCTTGGTCTCCGAATTTCTTCTGCCAATGTTCTTTTTTCGCATTGGCTACAGCGTAGATGTGTATTCGATTAGTGATTGGGTGAGCTTTTCTGAACTTCAGATTCTTATTACCGTGTCGTATTTTACGAAGATTGTGGGAATTACGGCAGCTGCATTGTGGTGCAAATTTGGGTTGAAGAATAGTTTAATGCTTAGAAGAATAGTTTAATGCTTAGCATGGCGATGAGTACCAAGGGTATAATTGAGACTACTCTTTTAAATCAATGGAGGAACTCGAAGGTAATTAACTACTTTTTTTTCATAATTATTTTAGAATTGTTATTAGCACTCTAGAAAGGTAATTATACACTTCGTCCTCCATTATTTTTCTACAAGTGTCACCACTTCTTAACCATATCTCCTACTTCCTAATTAATTAGACTCTATATATAATATCAACTGATTTTGATTCTTAATATGTTAATTGTAGGCCATTGATGATCAAACTTTTCTTCAAATTGTGTTGTCGATGTTGGGGATAACCATGGTCGTAACACCATTGCTACGATTCTCATACAATCCTCAAATACGGTTAGGAGCATCAACCAAATCTTTTCGCCTCAGAAGTATCCAATCCATGCCAAGAAACTCAGGAAAATTTTGTGTTCTTTGTTGTTTTCACAACGAAGAAAGCGTCCGCAATCTGATTACCCTGCTGGAAGCCTCAAACCCTACAGAAGCAAGCCCAATTTGCGCCTACGTTATACATGCAGTTGAGCTCATGGGGGGTGCCATTGTTGGATAGTGGCCAACTTGCAAATGCTTTCGGCTACACAAAAATCCAAACAACTTTTGGCTATAAAAAATTATAAAGAAAGAAGGTGGACAACACCTTTTCTTGTTTTGGGGAGGAAAATAGGGAAAAGGTTTTTTGTTCTCTTCAACACCCGTGGGTGTTGGTTCAATATGGGTACAAGTTGCCTTTGAAGCAAATAGAAAAAAAGTGAGAGCTCATTTCGGTTTGATGAAAACAAGAGAGAACCAAGAGTTTTTTTTGTAGAGAGCAAGGGAGAGTTGCAGTGAGTCCAAACAGAAGAAGAAGCTGCTGCTTCATTTGATTAGTAATCATCAACCAAAGTAATTGTTGTAGTAATAGCCTTGAGCTATATGTATAGAGAAAAATTATTCATTATATTTCTTTCTCTATTTGTTTCTTTGGTGTGTGAGAGCTATTGGGTGTATTGGGCTTTTGGGTTGTGAGATTGCCAACACTTTGTAAACTCCCATTTGGTTGATAGTGGATTATTGGGTGAGCTCCTACTGCTCCGAGGACGTACTCCAGTTACACTGACTGTTGAGGAACCTCGTTAAAATCTTGGTGTTATTTAATATTTTGTTCTTGCATTTCATTTGATATATTTCCTGCGGGTTATCAAGAGTTGGTTCCATAAGGTTTGGTGCGGTCCTAGCACAACAATTGGTATCAGAGCACTAGTTGCTCTTGGGTACTGTCTAGTTGCCAAAGATGTCAGACGGGCAAGATGAGAATCCTTTTGGAAGCACCTCCGGGTTTGCAAGAACGACGGTGCAAAATGCAAAGTTCGAAGTGAAAAAGTTTGATGGCACAAACAACTTCGGGATGTGGCAATGTGAGGTCAAAGATGTGTTGGCTCAACAAGATCTACTTGCCGCTTTGGGAGAGAAGCCGGAAGCTATGTCGAAGCCGGAATGGGAGAAATTAAATTTGTGGGCTTGCTCTTCAATTCGGTTGTGCCTTGCAAAAACTCAGAAGTATTTTGTGATGCGGGAGACAGTAGCAAGTGTGTTGTGGCAAAAATTGGAAGACAAGTATATGACGAAGAGTGCAGAGAACCGGCTACACTTGAAGAAAAAGCTCTACCGCTTCCAATACAAAGAAGGTACAAAAATGATTAGACACCTTGATGCTTTTAATAAGTTGATTGCCGACTTGTTAAATTTAGATGAGGATATTAAGGATGAAGATAAAGCCTTAATATTGTTGAATTCATTGCCGGACTCTTATGAGCATTTTGTTACCACTATTATGCATGGTAAAGAAACTGTGAAATTTGAAGATGTGTCAAATGCCTTGATGAATTATGAAATGAGGCATAGAGATAAAAATCATGATAGTACCTCTGAAGCTTTATTTGTTAGAGGTAGATCATCGGAGAGGAGGTCATCTTCTAGCAGGAAAAAATCACAGTCTCGACCTAGAGGAAACTCTAAAGGTAGAAAACCTTTGGAAAGGGATGAATGTGCCTTTTGTCATAATAAGGGTCATTGGAAGAAAGATTGTCCTAAATTGAAGACCAAAGGCAAAGAAAGTTCTGAAGCTAATGTTGCTGAGGTTGAAACAGATTTTTCTGATTTTGCTTTAACCACTTCCTCATCATTTGATTGTGCTACTAAGTGGGTGTTGGATACGGGTTGTACTCATCATATGACTCCTCACAAGGATTGGTTTTCAAGCTTGAAAGAGTTTGATGGTGGTGTTGTGTTCATGGGAGATGACAATCCTTGCACAACAAAAGGGATTGGTACAGTTCGTTTGAAGTTGCATGATGGCATGGTTAAAGAGTTGACAGGTGTTCGGTATGTACCGAATTTGAAGAAAAATCTTATTTCTTTGGGTACTTTGGAATCCAAGGGTTTCAGGTTTCATTCAGATGGACAGACATTGAAAGTTACTTATGGTGCACTTGTTGTGATGAAAGCTCCTAGATGTGGCCATTTGTATTTATTGCAGGGAAGCACTGTGTGACAGGTGAAGCATCTGTAGTCTCTGAAAATATGGGCACATCTGATTCAGATACTACTAGATTGTGGCATATGAGATTAGGCCATGCCGGTGAGAAAGCTCTACAAGGGCTTGTGAAACAAGGTCTTCTAAAAGGTGCCATGACTTGTAAGCTTGATTTCTGTGAGCATTGTGTCTTGGGGAAGCAAACTAGAGTGAAGTTTGGTACTGCTGTACATCAGACGAAGGGCATTCTTGATTATGTGCATTCGGATGTTTGGGGTCCTACAAAGACTCCATCTTTGAGTGGTAGACATTGGTTCGTGACCTTTGTTGTGATGATTATTCAAGAAGGTCTTGGGTCTACACTATGAAGCACAAGAGTGAGGTGTTAAGCATTTTCTTGGGTTGGAAGAAAATGGTTGAGAACCAGACTGGGAGAAAGATTAAGATTTTGAGATCTGATAATGGTGGTGAATACACATCTGATCCTTTCTTTAAAGTTTGCAAAGAGGAAGGAATTGTGAGACATTTCAGTGTTCGGGGAACTCCACAACAAAATGGAGTTGCAGAAAGATTGAATCGAACCTTGCTTGAGAAGGTTAGATGTATGTTGTCTCAGTCGGGTTTAAGCAAGTCATTTTGGGCAGAAGCAGTTAATTATGCATGTCACATCATCAACCGGTTACCCTCAGCTGCTATTCAGGGTAAGACACCAATGGAGGTATGGACTGGAAAATCTTCTTCTGATTATGACTATATCCGTATTTTTGGTTCACCTGCTTATTTTCATGTGACTGAAAATAAACTTGATCCTAGAGCCAAAAAGGCTATCTTTCTTGGTTTTAGTAGTGGTGTCAAAGGTTACAGGTTGTGGTGCCCAGAGATGAAAAAACTTGTAATCAGCAGAGATGTGACATTTGATGAAGAAAGTATGTTCAAAGACTCTGAGAAAAATGTGAAAGATGTCCAACAGGTGGAGCTTGAGAAAGTTGCCTCTGGTACTTCAAATCCTATTTCCGCTGATGTCGAAGCCACTACAAGTGAAGAAGTTGGAGACCATGAGGATGTTGAAGAAGTTGAACTTGAAGATTCTATTCAAGTTGAAGAGCAAGTTTCACCTCAAGAGTCTATTGCCAAGAACAGAGGAAGGAGACAAATTACCAAGCCAGCTCGGTATAGTGATTATGTTGCTTTTGCTCTTCCTATTATCACTGATGAGATTCCATCCAATTTTGAGGAAGCTATTGAGAGTGAGGAGAAGAAAAGGTGGTGCAATGCCATGGGTGATGAGATGAATTCTCTCTTGAAGAACAAGACTTGGGAGTTAGCTAAATTGCCTAAGGGCAAGAAAGCTATCGGTTGCAAATGGGTGTATGCCAAGAAGGAAGATGCTGATGAGAAAAGCAATGTGAGATTCAAAGCAAGATTAGTTGCTAAAGGGTATGCACAAAAGGAGGGCATTGACTACAATGAAATCTTTTCTCCGGTTGTGAAGCACTCCTCAATTCGCATTATGTTAGCTCTTGTTGCACAGTATGATCTTGAGCTTGTGCAACTTGATGTGAAGACGGCTTTCCTACATGGTGATTTGAATGAAGAGATTTATATGTGTCAACCAGATGGGTATATAGTGAAAGGGAAGGAAAATTTGTTTTGCAAATTGAAGAAATCGCTTTATGGCTTGAAGCAATCTCCAAGGCAATGGTATTTGAGGTTTGATAAATTTATGAGAGGCCAAAATTATTCTAGAAGTCAATATGATCATTGTGTGTACTTCAAGAAGTTGCAAGATGGGTCTTTCATTTATTTATTGATATATGTTGATGATATGTTGATTGCCTCAAAGAATGTTGAAGAGATTGAGAAATTGAAGAAACAAATGAAGAACGAGTTCGAGATGAAGGATCTTGGTGAAGCGAAGAAGATCCTTGGCATGGAGATCACTAGAGATAGAGAGAAAGGTTTGGTCAGTTTGAATAAAAAACAATACCTTGAGAAGTTGATTCGGAAGTTTGGAGTTCATGATTCAACCAAACCGGTTAGTACCCCTTTGGCTCCTCATTTTAAATTGAGTTCTCTACAGTGTCCTAAAAATGATAAAGAAAAGCTGCAAATGAAAAATATACCATATGCAAATTTGGTTGGTAGTTTGATGTATGCAATGGTATGCTCTAGACCGGATATTGCTCATGCAGTTGGCATGGTGAGTCGATATATGCATAATCCAGGTAAAGAGCATTGGCAAGCAGCTAAGTGGATATTAAGGTATCTCCATGGTACTCGAGATGTTGGTTTATGCTTTGAGAGAGATGACTCTGGTATTGGTCATTTTGCAGTTGGTTATGTTGATTCAGATTATGCAGGTGATCTGGATGGAAGGAAGTCTACTACAGGCTATGTGTTTTTACTATGGCTAAAAGGGCCAGTTTGTTGGAGGTCCATTTTGCAGTCGTCTGTTGCCTTGT